CTGGAGTCTCAGAGTGGCTTGCAAGCTCCTTTCCCTCCCCCTCCCCACAACAGGCACCCTGTGAGGCAGGTGGGGCTGAGAGAGCTCTGAAAGAACTGCCCTTGAGAGAACAGCTCTTGTCAGAACTGTGGCTTGCCCAAGGTCACACCGGCAGCTGCAAGTGGAGGAGTGGGGAATCAGACCGGGTTCTCCCGGATTAGAGTCCGTGCTCGTAACCACTACACCAGGCTGGAGGTGGGGTTCTTTTCAGTGTTTTGCTGCAGAAGGGCTTCCCCGCAGAAGAATGCTCTGCTGAACTGTGCAGCCCTGGCAGTGTGGTAGGGAGTCAGGAGCGAGCCAACGGCTGTGTGTGCCCCAAAGGACTTCTTTGGCCACTTTCAAATGGGGGGGGGGGCGGCAGGTAGACCACTTGCATATAGGATAGGCTTTTATGGTTCATGTTTGTTGCCTGTGATTCCTTTTGCAACGAGGCTGATCATCTGTGGCCTCCTTGGCTCATGCACTTTAGTTTAGTCTTAGATTAACCATAATGTACACTTTAAAGTTTATGTAGTTTTTAATGCATATAAGTCCTGGCAGGTAGGTGTTCAAAAAAGAACAAGAATTACTTGCATTTATGTTTTGTTTCAGCAAGAAAGAATAAGTGTAGAAAACACAACACCCTTTGAAATGGCTTTATGTTTCTACTGCATTTTTCTTTTGTAGTTGTTTCTTCTAATTCTAAAACTCTCTCAACCTCTGACTGGAGGCGTGAGTGGAGCCATCACTTCTTCAGAGGCACCAGGCAACAGTTTCTCCCCCGCCCTTAGAGACTGCCACGAAGGATGCATCCCATAACTTAAGTGCAAAGTGGAGCACAACCCTTCCTCCATACAGGTGTGTGTACCAAACTGTTTTAAGTTTGAGAACAAACACTGGTTGAATATCGGTTATGTGAGGCAGATGAACACTGTTGATTCTGTAGTTTGAGACTGGGTGGTTTTGCACGCACCTGAAAACCTCAATGCAAGCATATTAATGTTGGGATACGATTTTAGAAGCACAGTGAAGCCAAGTTCCTATGGCCAAGTCCTTAAGTAAGAGGAAGCTGCGGCCTTGGGGCAGTGTTCGTTCTGGGGCCTGGCTGGGGGCATTAGGTGCCTGTCCCCTGGGGGGAGGGGCGTTTGGTCTTGGAAGGGCAGAATCAGGATATGAGGAGGTGAGAGCTCCCAAGGGATTCTGCTAAGCACGAGAGGCCTCCTTCTTCGCCTTGTCCAGAAACTTTGACCCAGGCTCCACCCCCACCCCGAGGAAATGTCCATTTGGTTTTTCCGGGAGTGTGCTGCTAGCAGCGTCTTCCTTCCTGTTGGTCTCTGTTGCGCTCCCTGGTTTGTCCTGTACTAGCCAGGGACTCCAGGGGCAAAAAAGGCTGGCTGTGGCTGAACGTGGGTGCCCCTGGATGAGGGTGCTCAGGTCCAGAGATTCTCCAAGGTCGCCTGAACTCCAGCATTTTCTCAAAAAGCAAAATGACCAGTCAACACAGTTGAGGCCTCTGACCGCTGGCTGGGCAGGTGCACCAGAAATGGCGTTGAGGCCGTTCTCATGCTGTGCTCCCTCCCCCCCCCCCCCCCCCCCCTCCTTGGCAGTCTGGCTGGAGCACCTGACTTGGATAGCCCAGTCTCGTCCCACCTTGGAAGCCAAGCAGGGTCAGCTCTGGCTAGCAGTTGGGTGGGAGACCTCCCAGGAATACCCAGGGCCATGATGCGGAGGCAGGCCAGGGGAGACCACCTCCGAGTGTCTCTTGCCTTGAGAGCCCCACCAGGGGTCGCCAGAAGTCAGCCGTTTTCCTTGGCCAGGAGTGAAATGTGATGCCCTGACCCGGACAGCCCCATCTCATCAGATCTCGGAAGCCAAGCAGGGTCGACTCTGGCAAGGACTTGGAGGGGAGACCCCCTTGGAATACCAGTAGTCAGGAGGTGGGGGCAGGCTTTATTCAGCCACCTCTCTGAATATCCTCCAGGCCCCCAGCAGGGCTCAGTCACCAGAGGTCACCGTGACTTCCAGGGGCGCGCGTGCACACACACACACACACACACACACGAAAAATACAGAAAAAATACCAAAGAAGGAAAAAAGAAAGAATGAATGAAGTTTGACCACAGGTTCTTCTCTGTGGGAATGTGTCTGAACAGGTTTCTGCATCATTACAAATAGCCTGGTCTTTAGTTGCAGCCGCCTGTGGCGACCCAGTTTTAGTTTATGAATGTACTGAACAAGAAGGGAGAAATCATAGCGGAAGGAGGGGTTTTGGCTGGATAAGCAGCATGGTCAGTAGTACTCGCCTGCTGTGCTGCGTGGAAGCTCCAGAGTTGGCGGATGGGAAAAGCGACTGATGGCTCTTCTTGTCCGAGTCTGAGAGGCGGCTTCAGTCCTCCCTTTTCCAGCTAGTTTGCTTGGGGGGGGGGGAGGCAGATTGTGTGGCCAGTAGGAGAAGGGCCGGGGGCAGCTGGTGCCCTTGGGTGACCAGGCAGGGGGATCCATCGTCATGACGTGTGGGGCGGATTGACATTTCCAAACGAGTTGAGTTTCCTCCATTGCTGTTCTAGCAGTCCAGTACTGGAGCGGCGGAGGGAGCCATTGGGGGAGCCAGTGTGGTGCGGTGGCTGTGAGGGCTGGGCGAAGGCCTGGAGACTCCCGTTCAAACCTTCGCTCATGCCAAGGACAAGGGGGCTTTTGGGGGGGGGGGGGGTTGGGCCAGTCATACGTGGGCCAGCCTGGCCTACCTCACCGAGTTGTGAGGAGGAGGAGGAGGAGGAGGAGGAGGAGGAGATGGGGGAGAGGAGAATGACGTGAGCCGCTTCGGGTCCCCACTGGGGAGAGGGCAGAAGTGAGTGGATTCGGTGGATAAGCAGAGCTTTCCCTTTGGCTTTGGGTGGCTGCAGAGCTCCTTCCAAAACTTTCACATTCAGATCTTGCATTAAGTATGTGGGGATGTATATTCTGACTTTAAGAAACAAGAAGAGTTCAGGCAGCTGAAATTGAAAAATGGAGAAATTTAGCAAGCTCCATTGTGTCAGGAAAGAAGAAGAGGAGGCTGAATTTATACCCCACCCTTCACTACCCAAAGGAGTCTCAGAGCGGCTTACGAACTCCTTTTCCTTCCCCTGCCCACACAGACACCCTGTGAGGTAGGCGGGGCTGAGAGAGAGCTCTTTTGAGAACTGCTATTGAGAGAACTAGGGTTGCCAAGTCTGGGTTGGAAAATACCTGGAAACTTTGGGGGTGGAGCCAGGAGAAGGCGTGGTTTGGGGAGGAGAGAGGCCTCAACATAATACAATGCCATAGAGTCCACCCTTCAAAGCATCAATTTTCTCCAGGGGAGCTAATCTTTGTCGGCTGGGGATCAGTTGTAAAAGCGGGAGATCCCCAGGCCCCACCTGGAGGCTGGCAACCCTAGAGAGAACAGCTCTGACTGAACTGTAGTTTGCCCAGGGTCATCCAGCAGCTGCAAGTGGAGGAGGAGTGGGGAATCAAACCCGGTTCTCCCAGATTAGAGTCCGCGCACACTTGAGTGCATGTGTCATGGCATCTACCGTAGTCATGGCAGATATCCGCTGATGAGGCAAAATTGTGTGGAGAGGGGAGGTCACAGTGTTTTCACTGAATGCAAATTTTGAACTTTTATATACATGAGACAAAATTGTGTTGTGTCTGGTGATCGTTATGTTGATACTGCTAAGACCCTTCAGCAAGCAAATTTATCAGAGTGCAGTTGCTGGCCGGCTTTCTCCTGGGCTCCTCCACAGCTCGTGCCACAAGCCCCCAGGTCTCTCATGTAGTCATGGGCATGGCCTACAGGTCACGAGGACACATAAGGAGAGGTGTGTTTTTAAATTAATGAGCCTCTCCGATGATGCTGGTGATGAGCCCTCTGTCTGACTGAGCCGAGCAGGTAGGTAAAGTTGCTTCATGTGTGGAAGAGCAGCCAAGAGATTGGGTTGCTCCTTGAAAACTGTTCCTCCCCCCCCCCCATCAAAACTGGATTGGAAATACATTTGTGCTGTGCTTTTATAACACAAGTTTGATTTCTGGTCCCACAAAACTTTGCAGGAATTCTTCTGGAGGCAATTCCTTCAGGACAGAGCATAATTTATTAGGCCTGTTCACGGCACTTTGTTTTGTTGGAGCTGTACTTGTGCTCTGCATTTCTTTTTTTAAAAATGTTGTATAGCAGCTCAGTACTGGCTTTGCCAGTTTGGCAAGCCTTTAGGACAAAGGAGCCTGTCTTTGGTAGGATGCTTAGCAGCATTTCTAACAGCAGTGGTTAACTTTCCTACAGGCATTTCAAACTAGCTAACATAGAGTGCCTTTCTATATGCTTTCAACATAAATAGGGCCTATCTGCTAGTCTTATCACTTTAATTCAAAGAGTCAAAAGCATTCTGGGATGGTGACTATTCACTCTGCTTGGAGGCTGAAGCTAGAGATCAGATATTCTGTGCATAAGACCAACTGCACAGCATTTATGTTGTGTGATCAGTTAGGAATTGTGGGACAAAATAAACCCCTAATGTGAATTGCCATAGTAGTCTGAGAAACGATAAATAGCAAAGCCTTCTTCAACCATCAGGGATCCCATCACTGTTCTTAAAACAAAATAATCCCGTGTGTAAACCCACCCAAAAGGACTCTGGGACAGCAGTCAAGGAGGAGAATTTGGGAAGTGCGCATGAACAGGCTGGGTGGGTCCAGCTCCGCATATCTGACCGCCCAGGTGTGGCTGAGGATTTCAAGTGGGATCACAATTAATACAAACTCTTTTTCTGTAGTGCAGCGTTCAGTTTTGTGGGCTAGCTAAATAAAATATGTAAAACAGAGGAGAGGAGAACGGTGGTAGACGCTTTGGGGTCCCCCTTGGGGAGAAAGGCGAGAGGGAGATTAAATAAATAAATAAATAAATAAATCAGCCCGCTGTAGAACTCTGTCGTCTACTGGAGCCACAGAGACCCCTTGGTTGTTTCAAACCACAAATCTGTTTGTTGTGGTGGTTTTGTTTCTTTGTTCTGGCAATGGAGAAACTTGTGTGACAGTTGAATAGGATCTGGTGAAGAGCCAAGTATGTTTGAAACACTATTTTTGAGTTGCTACAGGGCCACCTCCCCCCCCATTTTATTTATAAATTTTCCATATACATAGTATCATAAAGTCAATTCTTATACATTTTGAGTCTGTCTATCTAGTTTGTTATTTATCCATACATGCACTCTCGACCATCTTTTCAAATAAATGTCTTCATCCTTTCCTTGTATTGACATGCTCAATCTATCCGTTTCTGCTAAATCCAATAGTTTGTGTGATATCTCCTCCCTAGAGGGAGTTTCTTCTGTTTTCCAGTACTTAGTCAACATTATTCTAGCAGATGTTTATAAACCAATAGGTATACATCATTATAGTCATAACCTTCAGGGATTATATTTAATAAATACGTTTCTGGGGTAAGCATTAAATTTACTTTTACAATTTCAAGTATTATCTTCTGTATCTTCCGCCAGTATTTTTGGATTTTTGCGCATCGCCACCACATATGATAAAACGTTCCTACATTCACTTTACATTTCCAACATTTATTGGAGGTATTTATATAACATCTTGCTATTTTTTCTGGGGGCCAGTACCATCTATGAAACGTTTTGTAAATATTTTCCTTATATGATATGGCCCTCATATATTCAGTAGTTTTGCATGTTTTCGGCCACTCATCTATCTCTATATTATGGCCTGTGTCCCGCATAGGGGCTACAGGGCCACTTCTTGATAAAAGTCTCTGCCTAGT